CTTTAGGTCCATTGGCACTTACAATACTTAACAGGCATCTAACATAGCTATCAATAAACATTTTTCTGAAGAAAATTCTGCTGTTTTCTACCTTGTGAGATGGTTTATTCTTGAAACTATAAGGTGGATAAGTATGATATTAGCCTTATTTTTCTTTTCTTTTTCTTGCTGTTGCTATGTAAGTGCATTTTGATGCCTCCGGGAGTTGAGTCCTAGCTCCTTTTCTCTTTGTCAATCCTTATGTTTACTTCTGTTTCAATTACTGTTTGATAGTACCGCTGACTCTTGAATTTCTGTTCCCAGGTTGCAAGCTGGGGTGCTTATATGTTAAAAAGAAATGTACTAACTATGTCCTTTGCACCAAGAGACGGCCATGAAGCTCAAGTGCAGTTTGCTTTAGAACGAGGTATCCCTGCAGTTGTTGGAGTGCTTGGGACGATAAAGCTTCCGTACCCTTCTAGATCCTTTGATATGGCTCAGTGTTCTCGCTGTCTAATCCAATGGACATCAAATGGTGAGTAACAGATTTCAAACATTATGGTCACTGAAATTCACTGGTTTTTCATGTGATAGTTTGCTGCCATCCCATTTAAGATGTTATACCCTGTATGTTATTTTACACTTGCCTTTAAAGAGTAGTGATTATTTTGTTCTATGATTTGATTCATTTCATTGTCACCTTCATTGCTCTATTCAGAAGGATTATATATGATGGAAGTAGATCGAGTCCTCAGACCAGGTGGTTACTGGGTTCTGTCTGGTCCTCCAATTAATTGGAGGACATACTATAAGACATGGAAGAGAACAAAGAGCGAACTTCAGAAGGAACAGGAAAGAATTGAAGAATTAGCTGAACTTCTTTGCTGGGAAAAGAAATATGAGAAAGGGGACATCGCTATATGGAGAAAGAAATTAAATGCCAATTCATGTAGAAGAAGAGATACTTCTTCAGTTAAGATGTGCAAATCTGCAAACAGTGATGATGTCTGGTATATTCTCTTATTGTATGATTATTTTGCTTGTGCTTTTTACGTATTTAGTAATTTATGAACATTTCTCAGTTTATCTTCACATCCATATTTGTTCCATGTTTCACCACTGACAAATCTAGACTAACATTGTCAGTTTAGCACTAGACTAACATTGTCAGTTTAGCACTTAGGCAAAAATATATCCTTGCATAGCTTTTCTTCCTCCTGCGTCTTGGAAATATATTTTAATCCAAATGACTTGGAGACAGCAGTGGAAGATACACTTTTTGTTAGTGAGCATAGTACTTAGTGATCGAGGAATATCTGAATAGTCATTTATTAGAGAGAGTTTCCTCTGCAGATTGCTCAGTGTCATCTTTCCTCATTGTCATTATGAAGTTCAAATATTAATTGTGCTCTTTTCTCTTTTAAGGTACAAGAAGATGCAGGCATGCATAACCCCATTCCCTGTGGTTGGTGGACAATTAAAAAAGTTTCCAGATAGACTATTTGCTGTCCCCCCCAGGGTATCTGGTGGATTTATACCTGGTGTGTCGAAAGAATCATTTGAAGAGGACAACAAACTTTGGAAGAAGCGTGTCAATGCATATAAGAAAATGAATAAGCTGATAGGCTCAGGGAGGTACAGAAACATGATGGACATGAATGCAGGCTTTGGAGGTTTTGCAGCAGCACTTGAATCTCCCAAAGCGTGGGTGATGAATGTTGTTCCGACCATTTCCAACAAAAATACTTTAGGTGCCATTTATGAACGAGGTCTAATTGGCATATACCATGACTGGTATGTTTTTGGCTGCTCTTTTTCCTGTCGGGGCTCTTGCAAAGTAGACATGGAAAAATACCAACACATACATGGCACAAAAGCACTATTTTGTATTGTCATGATTGAAGCTTGCATCTGCACCTACAGATTTTGCTTACATAATCAGAACAAAGAGTATTTTCAGGATCAAATAGCTAAGTTCGGGATTGACATGTCAGATTATTTATTTCGTTGTTTTTCCTTTTAGTAAGTTATTCATTGTGATAGTGTAGCATGTTTAAAACCTAGCAGTAACAGTTATCTAAGAGTTTTTAATATTTGCGTTATTAAAAGTTCCGAAACATGTTTTGGTTTGTGTCTACTTAAGAACCTTACCATGTAGGAGAAACATCTTGAAGGCTGAAATAAAGTTGACGTTTTGAATGTTTGAAAATGAAGTAGTGATTATCCTATCATTACAAGTAAGCATAAAATCCACTTACAGATGTAGGCATATTTGCTTTATAACAAGCTAGTTTTTAACTGGTTTGTTCTAGAGATACCTTCAGCTATTAATCCAATGATCATACTCAATTGTTATTATCTGAAACTGCATTCCACATGAATTGAGAAGCGTAACCAACATGACAAGTAGTGACAGGTGAGAATTTCCGTCGCACTTTTTTCTTTTTGTTTAGTTTCTTAACATAAGCAAAGCGGTAAGGAATGAATTATTTTATTCCCCCCCCCCTCCGTGGAGACCTTTATGACCAAGTAGGTGCGCAGGATGTGATCATGTGATTATGTTACAATGTGGAATGTAATTTGAAAGGTCCTATTATTGGATGTTCTAATTTTACACTAAATCAGGATCTTGCCTTAGTGTGACACTGTAGTGTTTCATTGTTCTAGTTCTGTTTTTCATGAGTTACTACACTGTTCCCTTCAAAAATTTACATGTCAAGCTTTCTCTTTTTTACCTTGAAGCTGTTTATTTTAATTCAGGTGTGAAGCCTTCTCGACGTACCCTAGATCCTATGATTTGATACATGCAAGCGGCGTCTTCAGCTTGTATCAGCACAAGTAAGCTCTTTACCTGTTACTTTAATGTCACAATGGAAATTATCTTTGTTTATCCTCCATTATGCACTAAGAAAAGGGTCAGGGCTGTCATGCCCTTGTAACTCTCCTTGCAGTCTTTTAAAGATTTCATGAAACTATCACGAACCATTCAGGATTTTGCAAAAAGCACCCTAAACTATTTTTACTAGAGAAAAGTACCACAAACTCCAGCAATCAGATAACACGGCCTTACAAAATAAGGACTTTTTACATATACACCTCCGAACCTATCACATTTTCAGATCTACCCAAAAACAGTCAGATTTGCAAATTACCCCCACATTCCCTGAAACTGGTTTAATTGTAACATTCAAAGTTTCTATTAGGAAAGATACTGGGCGCTTTCTAGTGAAATAATTGGCCCCAGTTTGCATTGGTATTGATCTATCTCATCCTTTTCTACAATGCACAGGTGTGATATAGAAGACATACTTCTGGAGATGGACAGAATTTTACGTCCTGAAGGAACAGTGATAATTCGCGACCAAGTTGATGTTGTGACCAAGGTAAAAAAATTAGCCAGTGGGATGAGGTGGAACACAAAGATGCAGGATCATGAAGACGGTCCTTTTGTTACCGAGAAAATATTGGTTGCTGCTAAACGATATTGGGTTGGTAGTGGAAGTAACTACACAAGTAGTTAACAGATTCTATATCTACGAGTAAATTATGACGAATGACGGAAAATTGAGTATCTTTTGTGACAGTTTCCAGGGGAATTACATGAAACTGGTCAGAATACAGCAAGGCGAGCTGTCCAGGATCCAGCCTATAAATTATCAAATTATGTATGGATTGTCACTTAGCATTGTCTGCCTTGAACTTTGTAAGTGTAAATTGTGACATAGAACCATTCAGAATACTTCTACCCTTGTATTAGAGGTAATTATTCATTTGTTACTTTGTAGTTTGTGCTTATTGCTTGCTTTGGATAGCTGCTTATGCAAAAACTGTGTTGGGTAGGTTCTGTGTGTATTGTTGATAGAAATTGTAGCAAGCACCTATATGTTTCATGGCTCCTTTAGATTAATTGGGAATATAGAAAAAGAAGAAATTTTCTAAACAAACCCATTCATAATTTTTTTTCTAAAAATAGACTCCCTTGAGTTTTATTTACAAAAATAGACACATTTTGTTTTAATCCGGTTTCTAAATAGTCGGGGTTGCCAACCCTGATTATTTAGTGCATAGAATGTTAGGGTTTAGAGTTATAATTGGGGGTTTACAACCTCCTAAATAGTTGGTGTTGACAACCCCGACTATTTAGGAACCGGATTAAGATAAAATGAGTCTATTTTTGTAAATAAAACTCAAGGGGTCTATTTTTAGAAAAAAAAATATGAATGAGTTTATTTAGAAAATTTCTTCTATAGAAAAATATGCAAGAGATGTTGGTTCTATGTACTAAAGATGATTTGCCCTGAACTTCAACTCATAGATATTTGTTATTAGCTTTGGATTTTAAGTTGCTTTCATGCAAGCGACTTTATTGTATTTAAGGTTTCTTTGACTAGAAAAGTCTACCATTTTTTTGCTTTTTAATCTGTAGTTAAAATGAGCAAGAAACTTGTATAATTTTTTTCTTCAAACAATAGTTTCACCATATCAAAAGGAAGATATCTTTCAGTTCAGTTGAGTTTATCATATTCAACTGAACGTCCACATTTAGACTCTCATAAGCTTTCAAATAGGACTTTTAAATGTAAAAAAACTTGATGATGGAATTATAAAATTGGGTTATGATCAGATTACCACATTAGCAACTTATATTACAGTGAGTAACACGTTATCTTGTTTATTTTCTAATATTACATATTAGGTTAAATTATCAATTTAGCAACTTTTTTTGGTAAACTTTAACATATCCATTTCTGGTTGTAATTAAGAAAAAAAGGTAAAATACACTAAACCCCAAGGAACTTTAAGCATTTTGCACAAAACCTTCAATATCTTTAAATATCGCATAAAACCCACAATTACAATATCTTTTGGGTCAATTATATTAAACCCCAGTAACTTTCAAAGTGCTTTATGTTATTTTTTGGTTATAATTTATGGGGGTTGTCTGTAAAAATGCAAAAATTTATTGAAGGTTTTCTATAATTCCAAAAGTTCTTGGAGGTTAAACTACGATTAGAAAGTTATTGGAAGTTTACTTTAAAATATTAAAAGCTCTTGGGGTTTATCATAATTTAGCGCCTGTTTGATAGGTTCATTGGAAACGAAAGAAAAAGGTAAATGGGGGTGAAAACCATTAAAGTATGGTTTACTCTTTCCTCTACAAAATCTATGAAATATATATCTTTGAGCTTTGCTACAGGGACCCAAAATATGAGACCAATAAAGGGGACAAGTGATGTGTCACTCTCCTATTGGATAATGAGTTGACCATCATTAATGATGGCCAACTCACTATCCAATAAGAGGAGGACACCTCACTTGTCTCATTTATTGGTCCCATATTTTCGGTCCTTAAAGAATTTTTCTATATCTTTAAGTATGAGTCACATCATCCAATGAGAATGCTTCTTCATTTCAAAAAAAGTGAATCAAACAAATAAAAAAATTTAAATAGAAAAAAATGATGTGAACATCATATTTTCTTATAAAATTTTCTCCACTTTCCATAAAAAATAGAGCAACCAAACAGCAACAAATGGCTATATTTCAACGAGCAGATCAGCTGGAAAGCAACACGGGCTCCATGACCTCTTTTTATCATTGCCACGTGGAGGGCCCTCGTCGCTGTCCCCAAAAAACAATTTAAACAAATTTTTTTTAAAAATTGAGAAACAGAAATAAAAGTTTGGGAAAGAGAGAGAAGATAAAGATCAAGCAAAGCCGCCCCTCGTGAATCAATCTAAGGTATTTTTCTCAATATTTTGAAAAGATTTTTTTAAGTTTGGATTCGGGATCTTTGGATCGATGAAAATTGGTACTGAATTAGAGAAATTCTGCTTGTAATCCCTTTCTTGGGCTCTGATGCGGTAGGAATCTTGATGAATTCTTCTGCATAATTTCAAAATTTTCAATTTTCTTCCCGGAAACAGATTCGATATACCTCAAATTGCACTTAGTTATCGAAAAATTAGATTTTTTAGGGGTTCCCCGAAAAACCACCTTAAAATAGGGTAACTATCGGAAACCGTCTTTTATTTTCAGTTTATACATAAATCATCTTTAAAAACTGGTTTTTGTTGCAATCAACAACCTCCTAGTCAAAATTTTCACTAGAAACCCAAAATTACATTTGAACATTCAAGGTACGTGATTCATCTTTTAGTGTTTAGGTCTTGATAGGATGCAACTCACGTATCTTGAACTTGAAAATTTATAAGCTTATTTTTGGTTTTTAGTGAAAAGTTGACTAGGAGGTAGGAGGTGGTTGGTTGCAGCAAAGGGGGGGAAGCCTTTTACTAGGAAATTTTAATCGAGTGTATGCCTTTGTTTGGACCTTCCATCGATTCAACCTCTGATGAGAATACAATTGACTCTTCATTCACATATTTTATAAAACTCCCACTTTGTTGTACTCTAAACCCTTGAATTCCATAAGTCCTGTTGTAAAAAATAAATGCTAAATTAAACTAAATCCTGTTATTCTATGTTCACAGGTTTAGAAATTGCTAACCCGGGTATTAAAAATTGAGTTCTATGTGAGTAATCTTTGGGTTGGAGAGTAATTTGATCACGAAGTTCATAATAAAGAAGGGCTGCATTAATCAGAGGGTTTAAGGAGAGATATCATGGCTTGCCGAGGGTGCCTCGAGTGCCTTCTGAAGCTTCTAAATTTTCTCTTGACGATTTCTGGATTGGCAATGGTGGGATATGGAATCTACTTGTTGGTAGAGTGGAGCAGAATTTCTGGTGGTGGGGATGATCCGATCTCGCCGGTCAGCAGTAATGCTGAGATCTTGCAACTGGGTCGACCGATGCTTCTTGTTGTTTCACTATCGGAGAGTATTGTCGATAAGCTTCCAAAAGCTTGGTATGTTTATTTATTTATTTATTTATTTGGCACATATGTTGAATTGGAAGCAGCATTGCATGATCTGTTGTTTGATGCAGCGAGTATGTTCTTAATTGCTAAAGAAATATTGATAATTGAAGAACCTAATGAAGATTTAATTTAGCTTATGAATAACCTTTGACGAAACGTTTTTGTATAACAATGATGATAGTGTAAATTGTGGAAGTGGTTTTAGGCTCTCAGCTTTGTAGATACATAACATGCTAACTTTTAGCATGTTTTACATGTAACTTTTGAGAAAAAGGGTGAAAAATCTTTAATATCATTTTATCAAGTTTTCTGTAAATGTTGAGGTTTGTTATTTGCATTTTTTTTCCTTCTTACCCTCTCTGTTGGCATGTGGATACTTCTACAAATGCAAGGTGCTAGTCATCTTCTTTATGGAAGCAAAGTTTTCTTTTGGGATGAAATCTCGAGGTTGATATGATGTTTTGAGTATCGAAAGATGTACTTCCACAAAGACTTATTTTTAAAGTTCACATGCTTCACTAATCGTGGAGCACTAATTACTTTCGTCAACAGAGTGCTATGTTTGTGGTTTTCTTCTTTCTTGGATGAACATTAACAAAAATTACACTTTTTCCTGAAATTTATTGTTGGTGAGATAAACTTTTTTCCCCTTCATTGAGTTCAATGAAGGGTCCAACAGTCTTTTACTAAATTAGCAAGCCTGCATCTTTTGCTTTATTCCCACATCCATGTTCATTTTCGTCTACCCCTATGTGTAGACTTCCTCAATACAGTTCTATCATGCCTCTCAATTGCATAAACACACAAAGTGTTTCGTCCTCATATTATCCTGAATTGAGGTTGAACTTCTTTTGGCTACACTGTTTGTTTATCATATCTTTCATATTCATCATGTCATCGACTCATCAATCATCCATTTCAGCATTCTCATTCTTGCTTTATTTTTTTGGGATATGCTTTTTAATTGGACAAAATTTTTAAAACCATCCAATTTTAACGTTTAATTATGAAAATTGACCTGTTTTTAATTTTTAAAGCATTTTTCGACCAACTTTGGCTACGTTAGCCAAAAGTTGGTCTTTGTGAAAATCTGCAATTTGTTATTCGGGATTGTTATCCCGTGTAGTTAAGAACTTTAATTCAAATATTAGGTTAATTATTAGATCTAACAAACACGCTCGACGAAAAGGGAAAAAAGAACACAAAAATGCTGATTAATTATGGATAATTATGATTTGATTTGATTTTTAATTATGAATAGCCAGTAGTTTCAATTATTTGTGGTTTTAATTTGATTTTCAGTTGTGAATAGTTATGATTTGATTAAAATAGTTTTAATTATGGATAATTCTGAATTGATTAAGATAATCTTATTATAGAAGTTATGATTTGATTTGTAACTACCTCAAATCTCATTTTTGATATCCAAAACAAAACGATAATATCCGAGAAATGCAAAACCATAATATCCGAAGTGTATATTTGGTGATCGGATTGGTAATTTCAGGACTGTTGATCCTGAGTAGTTACTAAAATTGAGATATTTCAAAACCACCCAAGTTTTGGTTGACTTGGTCAAAATTGGTCAAAAATGCTAAATAAATAAAAAATTGTTCGGATCTAGTTAGGTTACCATTAGAGGAAGGGGGGTGGGGGCGTTAATAGGGTTGTGTCGAAAACAAGATTATTTTTAAAAAGTTTTGCAACTAAATAAATGAAAAGATAACCAAGCTAGCAATGAAACACAGACGCAACAATTTTTCTGTGGTTCAGCATGCTTACATCCACAAATTTCACCTCTGTGAAATCGATCCACTATCTGATAAAGTACCAAACTCTCAAGTTTGTCAAAGCTATTACATGCTATCCTACCCAATCTCACTGAGGCATAAAGCCAATATAATAAGATACTTTAACGTTCAATACTTTATTTATTGGTTTACAAATCAAATTGAAAAGTTTTAATATGTCCCTAAATAATTGATTAGATCTTCTATCAATGATGCCTATGTTGCTGCTAAGATCCCCTCTGAGTTCAGCGTGGGCATCGTCTTCAAACCTTGAAGAGATCCAAGAAGAAAAGCTCTAAAATAACCTCCGATGAAAAACCCTACCTTTTCTTATCTTCTCTCTCTCTCTCTCTCTCACACACACACACACACAAACTCTATATATAAACTCGGCAATTAGACTCCTTTTAATCAAGAAAATGACCCTTGAATTTCTTATAAAGATACAGATGAACGGCTTAGATTACATCTCAAAAATGCAACGGAATTTGCCCGGACATGCGAACCAGGTAATGATCCAGATGCTTGATGCTTTTGACCAGGTGGCTTTGACAAAAATTCACAGAAAACCATCCTCTGTTTTGGCTCGATCAGCCGCGTGATGCTTTTAACCAGCTGATTTGTTTGTAGGTGCCTGGTTCTGTGGTCCATCCGGTTGATGTTTTCCTTTCAGCCTTGTGCACGTTTTTTTAGCTTTCTTGTGCATGTTTTCAGCCGCCTGCTCTTGCTAGCCAGCTGGCTGCTTTTGCTGGTGTTATTGTTCAATCTTTCACGACTTCAATTTCTTGCCATTCTCTCTTCGTACTTTCTCATGACTTCATATATATGTTTAGGGCTAGCTAAACACGTCCATAACCTGCACTCTTTATCTCGAAACATCATCAAATACATTTGAACATTTATTATTAATCAAATTGAGTTGATTGTGTGATCAACATCCAACGGATATTAGTCAGTTTTAATAATTAAATATTAGAATTAAGTGTTTTTAAAAATTTATTCTTTTTAATTGCTCAACATTCAGATTATAAAAATAATTTCTTGGGCATTGTACAATCACATAGTGTCAGTGAATCTCTTCTCCACTTTATCCATCTTTTTCATGGAATGCTATGACCAATTTTCCGCTTGTTTCTTATAATGATGATGAATGATACCTTAAGCAACAAAAATGACTACTCGTTTATTTTTTTGGTTATCATTCTCACCTAAATAATTTTTTCCACTTGTACTAATAATATATTTGTTATGTTTCCATTAATTATTTTTTTAGTTTCTAAAAGTATTCCTTCTATATGCATATGAACCGAGAGACTGTTTGGTTAATTTCCTAGAAACCCACAAAAAGTAAATTGGTTGAAGAAACCTCCCTAAATGGTTTTGAACCGTTTCCTTTAAAAAAACAAGAAAAAAAAGAGAAACCCTGAAATGGATTACCTAGAGATAAGGTCAACTCATCCAATAAGAGAGTGCCAACTCATCTTCTCTCTAGGTTTCCAAGTGGGAACCAAAAATAAATAAGAAAAGTGTTAAATGGCTTCATATTTTACACTTTTCTAGTGTTTTGGGGCAAGCAAACAGGCCCTAGTAGTGAAATGAAAAAGATAAGGTTGCAAATTTTACAGAGGAGGTGGCCCTTAATAGTGCTTAACAGTTCTGCATGGAGATAAGGTAGTGTTTTGGGGCAACCATACAGGTCCTAATAGTGAAATGAAAAAGATAAGGTTGCAAATTATAACAGAAGAGGTGCCCTTAATAGTTCCCTTAATAGTTCTTAACAGTTTTGCATGGAGATAAGGATTGATATATCTGGTCATGAATCTGAGATCAAGACTTCAGTTTTAAAATGGGTTTTTTATATATTTAATTTGAATTAGAAGACTGAAGACACTACAAAAGAAATTCCATTTTTGTTTATTTGGGTGATGGCAGGGATAATTCCTGTCTTTTGATGGTGCTTTCTACAAGGTGACACAGTTGAATTATAGGATAAACCATCATTGTAAATAGTTCTGCTGGAGTTTGCATATGTTAAATATCTAATGCATTTTGAATCTATCCGGTGCATGTGACCTCAATATCATATGTGCAGACTCATACATCTATTTTGGTATGAATTTTAGATTTCTGTCTCCACTTTCATGAGGTTGCTCACCCCACCAACTAATTTGATGTTTGCAGGTTCATCTACTTATTCATTGGTATTGGAGCTCTTCTCTTCATAATATCTTTCTTTGGCTGCATTGGAGCTGTGACAAGAAGTGGATGCTGCCTGTCTTGTGTATCCTAAATTCTAGTTTTCATTTTTGTACATGTGCTGTTTATTGTGCTCTATATCTCACTAGTGTTATAGTCTTCTACTGTTAAACTCCCTGTCACTATACCAAAACTTCAAAGTTGTGGTGATGGTTGAGGGTTGGTACTGTTAAGATTTGGAGAGAAGAGAGTTTCATGAGAGGGTTTTTTCACTCTATACTTTATTATTTATAGAGATGAATTAGTTACAAATTAGTCTCACGGGCAATATGGGGCTAAACTAATGCTAAACTAATATTCACTCTCTTCTAACACTCCACCTCAAACTGGAGCATATATATCATGCATGCCTAGCTTGTCACAAATAAAGTCAACTCGTGTTCGACCAAGTGGTTTTGTAAGAATGTCTGCCAACTGATGTACTGTCGATACATGTTTTGCCGTGATGATTTTGTCCTCGAGCTTCTTACGGATTACATGACAGTCGATTTCAATGTGCTTGGATCTCTCATAAAATACGTGATTCTCAGCAATGTGAATTGCTGCTTTAGTGTCGCCATATAAACTCATGGGACATTCTGGAGGGAGACAAATCTCTGTCAATAGGTCTTTGATCCAAACCATCTCTAGTGTCACATTTGTCATAGCTCTGTATTCTGATTCTGCACTGGATTAAGACAACACTTTGCTTCTTACTCTTCCGTGACACCAGATTTCCTCCGAGAAAGATAATATCTAGTAGTCGATCTCCTATCAAAAGGACATCCAACCCAATCTGCATCGGAGAAGCCTGCAACTCTGGTGTCCTTGATCTGAGCAGAGAATTCCTTATCCTGAAACCTTTTTCAATTACCTCAAAATTCTCATTAGTGCATTCAAGTGAGTAGTTCTTGGTACGTACAAGAACTGACTCACAACTCTAACTGCGAATGTGATGTTAGGTCTGGTCACCGTCAGATAATTTAGTTTTTTCACCAATCTCCTATACTGCCCAACATCCTCAAGAAGCTCCCCCTAGTCTGGTAGTAGTTTTGAGTTTACATCTATTGGAGAATCACTGCTTCTACATCCTAATATCCCGGCTTCTGAGAGCATGTCCAGGACATACTTCCTTTGTGATAGAAGAATACTCTTCGTTGACTTTGCAACTTCAATGCCTAGGAAGTATTTTAGGGAACTAAGATCTTTTGTTTGGAAATGTGTCTGCAAATACTTCTTCAAGCTGTTAATACCAGAAGCATCATCCCCTGTAATTACAATATTATCCACATATACAACTAGCAGAATTCGTTTCCCATTCTGAAACGTTAGAAGACAGAGTGATCTTTTTGTGCACGATAAAGCCCACATTCTTGAATAACCGATGCAAAACATCCAAACCAGGCTCTCGAAGATTGCTTTAGACCATAGAGTGATTTTTTCAGCCTACACACCTTTGCATTCTCCTCATAAGTAACAAAACCTGGTGGTTGCTTCATGTAAACCTTTTCATCTAGAATACCATTAAGGAATGCATTCTTGATGTCCAACTGATGAAGTGGCCAGTGGTTTGTCGCTGCTAACGAAATAAAAATCCGAACAGATGTCATTTTTGCCACCAGAGAGAAAGTATCTACGTAATCCAAGCCATACACCTGTGAAATAGCCTTTAGCAACCAGTTCGGCTTTCAAGCGTGCTAAAATTTCATCAGCATTCAACTTGACAGTGTACACCCACTTACAGCCGACGGGCCGCTTTCCTGGTGGAAGTGAGACCAAATCCCAAGTTTCATTCTGCTGCAAGGTCCTTATTTCATCCTGCATCGCTTGGTTCCAACCTGGAATAGACAGAGCTTCTGACACATTCTTGGGAACTAAATGAGTCGAGGGAAGTAAAAAGATCGAAAGGTAGAGGATAGGCGATCATAGGAGACACAGTTAGAAATATGATGTTGAGTACATGTTCGTCTCCCTTTTCAGAGTGCAATAGGAAGGTCTTTCGCAGAAGGGGGTAAATTTGTACTTACTGATTCAGGTTCTTCGGGCGGAGAACGTGGTGTTGAGGCCGAGGTTAGCACAGGAGCAAGAGCAGAGCGACGGTGATAAACTTGAATTAGGTCGTTAAACCTAGCTGAGTCTTTCTCAGTAGCGTAAATGGTATTGTCAGCGGATGAACCACTACCGTTAACCAATGGCTCTTGTAGGATTAAATAGTCATACTCATCCGATGATAATGAAGATGTAGAACTAGAATGACCAGGTTTATCTTCAAAAAGTGTTACATCGGCATATAACACAAGACGATTGAGTGACGGACAGAAACACTTGTAACCTTTATGTTTTCGGGAGTTGCCAAGAAAAATATCTTTAATAAATCGAGAGTCAAACTTTTATTTATTTGGACTGTGATTATGAACAAAACACAGAGTCAAAAATCTTTGGAGGAAGCAGAAAGAGATCATCGTTGGGGTATAGAACTTTGAAATGAATTTTATCTTGTAGAACAGAAGAGAGCATTTGATCAATATAAAAACATGCTGTTAATATAGCTTTCCCCCAAAATTCTTTAGGAACGAGACGATGGAGTAGCAAGATCCAAGCAATATCAAGGAGATGTCTATTCTTTCGTTCAACAACTCCATTTTCCTGAGGAGTGTAAACACAAGAAGACTGATGAAAAATTCTATGTTTAAGGAAACTAGTGAAGTTGCCATCAAAATATTTCTTTGCATTATTAGATCAGACAATTTTTATCGAAATTTTGAATTGATTTGACTATTTCAGAATAAAAGAGTTTAAAAATAGAAAAAACTTCAGACCTAGAGTTGAGAAGATAAATCCAAGTAACACGAGAGTGATCATCCACAAAACTACAAAGTATCGGAATCATAATTTAGAAGTTATTGGGCATGACCCCCAGACATCAGAATGAACAAGATCAAATGGCTTAGCAGCCCTCTTATTGACTCGATTAGGATAAGACACACGATGATATTTACCAAGTTAACACGACTCACATTCTAACAAGGAAAGATTTGAACTGAGGATTTAGAAGCTTGAGAACAGAGAAAGGGATGCTCTAGCTGACAGTGGTATTGTAGAGCTGATGAGTTTTCGATACAAGCTAAATGTTTGGCGCCCAAGTCCAGTTTATAATGACCGTTCTGCTCATGTCCTGTCCTAATCATTTTCCTCATGATCAGGTCCTGAAAGACACAGTGTGTGGAAGAATGTCACAGTACAGTTTACTAATTTAGTTATCTTACTAACAGATAAAATGTTATAGGAAAAACTAGGAAGATAGAATACGGAGGAAAGGGGAAGATTCGGGGTAGGATTGATATTGCCGACATCCTGAACAGGTGTACGTGAACCATCAGCTAATATAACTGAATTAGATGTAGGAGAGAAAGAGGACAATATACCTGGGTTCCCCGTCATATGATCAGTGGCACCTGTATCTATAATCCAAGTATGAGACGAAGACGATGTAAGTAAAGATAAACGAGTACCTGCACTTTTGAGAGTAGCAGATAAAGAGGAAGATGTTTGTGAACTTTGGTACTGCTGAAATAATTAAAATTGCTGAAATTGACATTATAGCTCCGCACCATGAAAGTGATTGTGGTTGAATTTCACTATCAGATGAAGTGATGTTGTCCTGAGCAGTCATGTAAACACCATTGGCTTTCTTCTTTTCTAATTCAGGACAATTATATTTGAGATGTCCTGACTAGTGGCAGTAGTTATAAGTCTTCACTGAGTCATCTCCATGAGCATGTCTGACTTGAGATGGACCTCCACGACCACCTCGTTGATCACCTCGGCCTCTAGAACGATCAGTGTGGTAACCTCCTCTCCCTTCAAAGTTTCTTCTACCTCTTTCAGGATCATCACCAGTATGACTTTCTCGTCCATAAGACTACCAACTCTGAGTGGCAAGCGAAGAACGATCCGCAGTGGATGTGAGTGGCTGTGCAGGGATAACGTTCTTTAGAAAGTGATAAGTCTCAGCGAGAGAACTAATGACGGAGCTCCCTATGATTTGTGATCGAGCAGAGGAGTAAATGGAATCTAGGGTGCCCAAGTAGGTGAGTGCCATAAGTTTGTTCTATTGGTTCTGCATTTATTTTACATCCCTAATAATAGAAAAAATTTGACGAACTTCCTCAGCCAGACGATTGAACTTACCATAATGATCATCTATGGGTTTACCATCCTGTTTCTTACGAAACAGCTCTTGAATTACTTCATATGCCCGATTAATATTGTTGCTACCCCCATAGATATCTTGCAAAAAACACTAAAGTTCCTTCATTGTTATACAATGAAGAACTAAATCCTGAATTTTAGGCTCCATAATATTAAGAAGATGTAAGAGGACACTATCGTCCAATGTCCAAGATTCCGGTGTCGGAGTAGGAGGGTCCGTCAACAAATGACTAGTTTTGTATCGGCTTGCCATGTAGATTTCAATAACACATTTTCACTGAAAATAGTTAATTTCATCAAGTTTTCGGTCAGTGATTCTGTCAGAAAATATCTCCGAAATTTTCGTCTAGACCGTTAACTCAGAATTATTGAGTTCCTCAGATCCGATCATCATGAAACAGACGAGTAGAGTTCAAGACAATACCCTCCACAAGTTGTACTCCAAAATGGAAACAATCAAAGTATGTCTAAGTTCAAGAAAATAAGTCTTGAATTAGCCAATAGGCTGAACAAGTCCAAGAACCCGAAGGTTCGGGTATAATTTTGAACCCGAATGTTAAAGTACAATAACTTAAAAGGTTAACATGAAATTCAAGGTTAAAGTTCAAGAACCCGAAGGTTAAGATGGAACCCGAAAGTGTTTTTTTCCAGGACAACTCATAGATCTGACTTAGATTCAAAAACAAAAAGAGAGCGGCGAGCGGGGGGGCATGGCGACGGCGAGCGAAGGTCTCATGGTGGCGGCAGTCATCAACGGCGAGCGGCGTCGGGTGGGAGTTGTCGCGTCGGGTGAGAGAAGCTCAAGGATGAGGACGTGGATCGGATGGACGAGAACGAGGAGTTGTTGAGGAAGATGAGGGCGAGGACGATGGCGAGGACGAGAAAGATGAGGACGATAAGGCGGCTGCAAGGTTTTGGCGGCTAGGGGTTTAGAGAGAGGCGTCTGTCTAGGGTTAGGGTTAGGCTTAGGAATTTGAATTAGTATTAGGGTTAGGGTTAGTGATAGGCTCTGATACCATGTTAAGATTTGGAGAGAGAAAAGTTTCTTGGGAGAGTTTTCCCTGACTCTATACTTTATTATTTATAGATATGAATTAGTTATAAATTAGTCTCAGTGGGACTAAACCAATACTAAACTAATACTCATACTCTTCTAACAGGTATCAATTTTCCAAAACTCACTTTAAATTTGTGGCCGATGGGATTTGAACTTGGGCTTGCTCGGATACCATCTTAAAGTCCCATCCAGCTAGTACACCAAAACTTTGAAGTTGTGATGAGGGTTATAATTTATATTCTAAAACCTAATTTTTCTTTTGGTTTTATAATTTTAGTAGAAATTAATGTTTCTGATTGAGATAGTATGCGATTTCGGGATGGTATGATATGAATATCGCCATTGTCTTATACAGCCTGATAGAGCGTCGGGTGAGAGAAGCTCAAGGATGAGGACGTGGATCGGATGGACGAGAACGAGGAGTTGTTGAGGAAGATGAGGGCGAGGACGATGGCGAGGACGAGAAAGATGAGGACGATAAGGCGGCTGCAAGGTTTTGGCGGCTAGGGTTTTAGAGAGAGGCGTCTGTCTAGGGTTAGGGTTAGGCTTAGGAATTTGAATTAGTATTAGGGTTAGGGTTAGTGATAGGCTCTGATACCATGTTAAGATTTGGAGAGAGAAAAGTTTCTTGGGAGAGTTTTCCCTGACTCTATACTTTATTATTTATAGATATGAATTAGTTATAAATTAGTCTCAGTGGGACTAAACCAATACTAAACTAATACTCATACTCTTCTAACAGGTATCAATTTTCCAAAACTCACTTTAAATTTGTGGCCGATGGGATTTGAACTTGGGCTTGCTCGGATACCATCTTAAAGTCCCATCCAGCTAGTACACCAAAACTTTGAAGTTGTGATGAGGGTTATAATTTATATTCTAAAACCTAATTTTTCTTTTGGTTTTATAATTTTAGTAGAAATTAATGTTTCTGATTGAGATAGTATGCGATTTCGGGATGGTATGATATGAATATCGCCATTGTCTTATACAGCCTGATAGAGTGGAAGGGTCAGATCATCAAGTGGGTAATCATTTAAACAAGAAGAAGGGGCTAATGCATGCGTAAACTGACCTATTTTTCCTCTGCCTTATCAAACGAGCGTCACTTCTGGTCTCCTTCCCCAACAGATAGTAGGATCTCCTAAAGGCCTGCTTTTCTTTGGTCAAGCACGAGCCTGATCCTTCATTTGCTAGCATGTCTGTATTAAGTTTTTTTTAATTAAGTTCATTTGCTAGTTCTTGGTGGTAAAGCTTTAAATTAGAATAACCTCACATAAGATTGTCTTTTTCTAGCAAGAAGGTTTCCAGTTTCCAGTTTCCAGTTTCCAATTTTCATGCATGTTACATATGATATTTTGCAAGTTCCCTTTGCTTCTCAGAAGTTGTCATGTCAAACTTGCTTGGGCTTGTGTTTTAATGGGATATAGTGTGGATAAGTTTAGATCTTTTAGAGAGGTTTTGAAACTAATCTTATGAATTTTCTTAAGCTTTTATTTGAGGTCAGCTGGGTTATGTTTAAGAGTTAAGACCTGAATTACTTAATAGAATGCAGATTTTCTAGATTTTCAACTTAACTTCATAACTTTCTGACATAGAACATGTATAAACACATGTTATGTTTGTGTACTTGCTAGAAAACAAATACACACTTAACTCGCATGTTAGGGAATAGAAAAATATGAAACAATATTGATTCATTATAGGGCTTAAAAGGTGTTACCTACCTTTTAATTGCATTAGCTTTGAATATCTAGTAAAAGGCTAGAAATATATAAAAAGATGATCATCGATCATTCTCTTATGTGTCCATTGAGTAAAAGATGATTCACTCAGGATTCTGGTAAATGTTTGGACGTTGTAAGCTGCTTCTTAATATCTAGGTATATATGGACCATTTGCGGGCAGTACATGCCAGCTCATCATTAACATGCAGAAAGTATTTAGCTGCAATCTTATACAGACTGTGAATGCATAAGAAAGCACGCAATATTATGTCTACTACAGAACGATTAGTAAAATTTGGTCAATTTAGTTAGGAAAATACATCAAAAGCTGAGTTTGAAAGTAGCAAAAATTTTAGCATGAAATAAGTATTTAATTTGCTGATTTTAGGGGAAAGCTAATTAGCTGCTACTGGAAGTGATATTTGTGTCTGCTGAATCTTGTTTCACCACTTTGGTATTATGTGGCTGACCCATGCACTTTAATTATCCTTGAACGTAAAGCTAAATTTACCTGGGCGAGAAATTACAGACTATGCAGAATTCCTTGTGAAGTTTGTTGACCATTGAAGTTCTTAGATTATAATTTAGGTCAGGAAGTGTCACAGACTAGGTAGCCTAAGATGACTTGGATGCTCCAGAGGGGAGACAATATTTAGAAAACACCTTGGTTGCAGTTTAAAAATATTTGCAGCAGTTTAGAGTGATAAAGATTAGGAGAAATAACCTTGTGATGATGTTAAATAGCACTGCTGGTTATCTTTATTCTTAGGTATACATAAGAGTTATCTAATGTTGTTCCAACTGACATTTTGTAGTCTGAGTTTCTGATGTTCAACCAGGTAAAATTGTTGTGAAATTATTTATTCTGAAGCAATTTTTATATTCCCTCTTTAGTAGTTTCCTTAACCCAAGAAGTATGCTTTCTTGGTTATCCTTCTGATTCTAGTTGAACTGGGGGCTGCGGCTTTCATGTTCTTTGACCATAGTTGGAAAGATGTGAGTTATCTTGACACATTTCTTATCTTTGATTTTCATTTTCACTAGTTTACTGATCATGATTTTTTGTGCAGTTGATTCCAGTTGACAAAACTGGAAACTTCGAGATGATGTATGATTTTTTGGAGGGAAACTGGAAAATTGTTAAATGGGTTGCTCTAGGAGCTGTTGTTTTAGAGGTCAGTTACCATTAGTCTACTTATTTCTTATTATGCACAAGAATGCCTTAGTAAGACTTATTTTACTTCATGATCAATATCTTTATGAGTTCTAACCCAAGGTTCCATGGACATGATGTAGAATAACTTCTATAATGTTCTATTGTGCAGGCACTGGCTTTCTTGCTTGCTCTTGCAGTCAGATCGGCAAATATGCCTCCAGAATATGACAGTGATGAAGAGTATAATAACCCGAGGTCAAGCGTGCATCAACCATTGATAAATCGGCAGGGAGTTGCAGCAACTGGCGTCCCTGTAGCTCCCACTCTCGATCATCGGCCTAGCAGGAACGATGCCTGGAGTCAGCGGATGAGAGAGAAGGTAAGATTTGTTTTTTTGGTTAATTGCAGATTCACCTCCTGTACCATGATGGTGTAGCCTTTTATGTCCCTAATCTTTTCTATCCCTCTTGAATCTTCAGATGACACTACCTTTTACCATTAAATGAGGTGGTACTTTAGTTTTTTTTCTCAATTAAACCGAGGTTAAATGTTCTTAAAGGACCTGTGACTAAACCAAAACTCCGGATTTATAATGAGTCTTGAGGGTGATAATTTTATACTCGAACATGCGTCCACAAGTTGAGCACCGTTTCATGGTTTGAGACCTGGACTCGTGAGCATTATCTTTTTCTTTAAATCCGCTTTAGAAATTTGTGGTTAGTAAGATTTGAATCTAGGTTGTTTTGATACCATCTTAAAGGCCCTGCCACTACAACTAAACTCCAAAGTTATTGACCGAAGTTATGAGGGTTTAGGTTATATATTTTATATTCTCACAAAGTTAATTTATCACCAATGTTATCACTTGACACCTCAACCTATCTTTGAAAATAATGTTGTCGGGAGTTCAGAGGATAGGATACAAGTGATGTGCTCTCCTAGTGCACGGGGGTGTATCTGCAATTAACCCTTTGTTATAAGATACGGGAAATTTGTGCGACATTGATGCATTTACCTGCTTCTGAGTCTAAATGTGGTTTCTACCCTCTGAACAGTATGGGCTTGACACTTCGGAGTTCACGTACAATCCGTCAGATTCAAGCAGGTTCCAGCAAACGGCAGCGCCTCCTGCAGAAGAAAAAGGAAGATGCACCATACTTTGAATTTGAAGAATCTAAAGTGGATATCTTTTCCTGAAGAAATGTTGTTGGCTTCTGTTTGCTGATTGTGTGAAGCGAGTCTTAGTGTTTGTTAATGTCATAGTTGTCTCAGTGGAAAAAAAAAAAAATCAGTTCTCTGTCCATTTCCGTTGATGTAAAGCATAAATTTGGCCACTTTGAGGATTTGAAGAGCACATTGTATTGATCAGTGATTGTGTTTAAGTGTTCTGCTCTGTGGTTTGAACTGAAGAATAGAGACGGCGATAATTTTGCAGCAGTTGTGAATGTAGTTGTCTCGGCAGTTGAACTTGGATGTTGAATAAAATTGTACATCTTGACTGTAAAAAATGTGCTGTTCATTACAAACTGCTGTCATGTTTACTGTTCTTTTCCCCTTCAATCAGCGTGATGAAGGCTAGAAGCTTCAAGCTTTTGGACAGTGGTATAGGTTCTGCATTTTTTTTAGTTGCCCAAAATGGGAAGTTTTTTCTTGTTTGATATGAAGAGTAGTCAGTCTTTTGCGTGTCTAACTTTTAATTAAAATTTTGTGCATTTACACTTTCCTACTATAAGATGCAACACAATCAATGGTGAGCTCAGTTTTAAAAAAAATTATGCTTAAGATTCAGTTGTGTACTAATTGGTCAACCAGGACATGGATTGTTATCACAGATGAGTTATCAAGGAATACAATATATCAAGAAGTAAGAATGGTGATTTGGTTATTTTCCCGTAGCTCATAATAGATGAGGAGCCATTTACAGCTAGTTTTTTCTCACTAATTTATAAAATGAAAATTGTTGATATTAATCATATATTATTTTTATTGCACACAAAAGAGTGGTATAATGTATATACTGTGTTTACCATATATGGGACACGTGTATTAAAGGTCTATTTGGTTGGTTTATTAGAAGAACAAATTTTCAAAACAGACTCAAATCAACTTTTAATTACCAAAATTGACCCATTTTTTTTAATTATCAAAATCGATCCATTTTATGCCACGTAAGCTTAATCATATTTCTTAATTAGTCGGTTTTGGAAATGGAGAGGAACCATAAAAATGATTCCTCTCATCCTCAATAAGACATAAGAAAATGGGTTTCTAAATTAAGGACTGCATCATTCAACAAAAAAGTGCTGATCCAAGTTTGTTCTTGATTTCAAGGTGAGAACTAAACAAGGAAAAGAAAGTATTAGGTAAAATAGTAGATTTCGTATAATAGCTATCTTTGATTTTTTGGGCAACCAAACAACCCCTAAATAAAGATGATACCACAATATCTCATATGTTCTTTTTAATATCGATCACCATTAATATTAATTTAGTGACAAATTCATGAAATATGGGTTTTTTTGTATACATAATTCTTAAATCATGCATATTTGCAAAAAACTACCTTGAACATCAAGTAGGAAGAAGGGGGAAAAACACCCAAATTGACTAATCATGGACTTTAATAGATTAATTTCTAACTGCAAATATCAAACAACGGTCAAACATTTACTCATAATATCCAACAAAGTTCATGAAAATTCCAAGGTTGATTATTTGAGGATAATTATGCTGATGTCGAGTTTTTGGTGTAGTTCTGCAAATAGACATAAGGGGTATGTACACATGAAACAATTAGATTTTTATTCAAGGTTCTCCGCGCAAAAAGTGATCCTCTAGAGCCTATCTCTCCTTCGCCGGAGCACATTCGCACTGATCAGACGCCAAGTCCATGTCCGCTACCGCTGCGCTCCCCGTGCCGGCGCGAAATATCGGCCCCGTGTCGGCTTCCTTTATCCCTCGCAGCGGCGGCAGAGGCGGTGGCGGCGGCTCCTCTCATTTCTGCCTCTCTAAACCCTCGTGGATCGTCAAGAGCGAGGTAACAAAAGAAAAACCCTTTTTTTTCCTTAAAAACCCCTCTTTTAGTTAGGGTTTTGACATGGAGACTTTTGAGTAGAGCATACTATGAAGAAATTCATCATAGACTTCTGTATTCAAGCTCAAAGGATGTAATTGAAGTGAAGCAAGTGCCAATTTAGACCAATGATTTTAGTGACAAATCATAACTTCTAGAAAATTTCTTTTTATTCTTGATGCACCCTGTGGTTAAAACAGTAACTTCTTCTTGATGATGTCCTTGCTTCATTATTTGTGCCAACGTTGTGTTATCGAGGTTATTGATGGCGGATAGGGTCACGTATTGACGAGGCACAACTAAGGCTATTTGGGGCTATTGCAGCAAAAAGCGCAGTCCAATAGCGGCCTAATTTACATATGTATAAATATAAAAAAAAAAAAAAAATCTAAAAATGCATATTTGATGATTTAAAGAGATCCTAAGCATGAAATGGACATGTAACTATTGCATAATCAAGAGGAATGGAGTCGAAGAGTAATTGTCTTCGAGTCGATGAACTGAGTGGTGAGAGGAATGAAATAGGAGCTCACGGTGAGAGGAGGTGTTGTGGCAGTAAGAGGAGTGCTGAGGGAGTGTTGGAGGCTGTTGGAGTTGGCAAGAAGACTTCGAAAGTCGCGAGAGGCAGCGGGAGATAGTGGGATGCAGTGGGAGGCAACAACCTTTTTGGTAGCTAGGGTTTTGATGGGTTGGACCATAAGGGGACTCAGGAGAAAAAAACACGATCAGTAATGACTTAAGACATCGAATCTTGCAGGTGTGGTTCGAGTGTAATTATAAAAATAAACATGAAACAACATTTAAATAGCGATCAAAAAGCGAATTTTACCTATGATAGCTCACTATTCATCTATATGGCGTGCTATTGGCCACTTTTGCGAACGAAAAGTGCATACTTCGCAATATGTCACTGCTATTGAGTGATATCATTGCGGAGCGGGCTGCTAACGCTATTGTGACGCTATTGACTGCTATTTATAACAATGTGTGTTATGTATTCTTTTTTGGGGATTTATCGCTGCTAGTAGCTTTTTAGAGCTCAAAAACTACAACTTACCGACCATGGACTGGTCCAGACTTCACGCATACTGTTTTGGGTGATGACCTTAATACTACTAAGGATACATTGGATGTCTTCAATGGTTTAGTGACGAATCAGTTTGTATGTCATTATTATTTGCACGTGTTGGATGTTTATGAGTTGATCCTTTGGTGGGTGGGGGCTAAGTTCTTAGGTTTTTTGCCCCAAATCGAAATTGAAAATGAGGTTCAGAGGCGAATGCAGCGAAGACGCCCTGGCTTTTCAGTGGAAAGGGGAGAATAAAGAAAAGGAATAAAATTTTAAGTAAAGTTAAAGGTTCGGAACCTTTTATCTTCTTTTATTCACAATGATGGGAAGAAATATAAAATAAACGTGTCCATCCTTCATAAATGGGAACAAGGATTATTCAAGTTTTGCATGATATCAAATAGAAGACAAAGAAAAAAGAGCACGAGATGTTTATGTTACCATTGTATGGGAAGGTAAGAGAAACCGAGCAATGGCTGATAACATGCATAGTCATATAATTGTTCTATTTTTTGACATTTTTATTGTTAATACTGTTAGATGGCATACTTATACACAAGTAACTTGAAAAATCAAAAGGATTAATGAGGCAAGATAAGAACCTGGAGTAGCTGCGTCCTCTTAGTCTTTATGCCGGAGTTCGTTCTATTTCTACAGTGGATCAGCTCCAGTAGTGTTTAATAAATCTTATCCTGTCTATATGCACATGCTGGGTTGGAAAATTTGTGAATGTTGTATGCGGAAAAAAAAATCTATTTCTTTTAAGACTGGGTGTTCTGTCTTCTTCCCTACTCTACTGAATTCTGTCTTCTTCCCTACTCTACTGAATTCTGTCTTCTTCCTACTATATTGAATTCTGATGTTGTAAGGCTATTATCTGTTGCAGTCCAATGTTCGGCTAGAGAAATTTAGAAAACCGGATCCACCTTGTGTAGTCTGCGATGGAAGTGGAAGAGTAGACTGCCACCATTGTCGAGGAAGAGGTTCCCTCAGTTCCTAAGTCTCTCAAGTGAATTAAAGAAAATTTCCTATTCTATATTCATCAGTACATACGTATATTTGTTTTAAAAATAGGGGTATTAAGGACTCGTAGTTACCTGTTTCAATATTGTATTTTAATCGGATCTGTAACTTATGCTTTCCTTTTGTAGGAAGGACCAACTGTGTCCATCTAGTTTTGCTTCCCGAAGGAGAATGGCCAAAATGGTGAGAAACCTATATTGTGAAAATTGTTTGCTCCTTCGTCAGTTGTGATAAACAAGCTGACCTCTGGCAGGTGCAAGGTTTGTGGTGGAAGCGGACTTGGTTATTGCAACCGATGTCTAGGGACAGGAGAATACAGAGATATTATGGGCTTCCACTTTATGAAAATGAACACCAATCGATCATGACATTTGTGAAAGAAAAGGGTCCTATTAAGGAATGGAGGTTGGGGGCTCACGTGAAATGCTGGGAAGAGAAACGAGCAATACAATTTTATTTTCTTATGATCATGGTAGCTCCAATCAACACTACTGTTCTATAATTCAGAAATGCAGATGTACGGTTTTGCAATAATTACCTGGGTCACAAAAATTGTGTCATAGTGAACAAATTTCTCTATAATTGGTTAAATGCTTCTGTTTTGGAATTTTCTGCTGTTGTTTATACTGTTAAAGTACAAACTTTGAAAATATATGTTCTTCACTGATCGGTATGAAGACTAAGAGATCACATGACATTCATGAAGGTGCTAAGAATGGATTGCCATCCATGATGCCTAAGACCTAACTAGTACTTAAAATTTCTTCTTTGTTTTGCATGTTCATAGCATCAATAGCACTTATCTAACTCCCATCTAATTGCAGAACTGTATTCATTTCTGGGATTTGTTAGAAATTCCAGTAAGGGAACAAAAAGAATAGCAGGAAGCCCCAATGCTGAGAGTAGTTTTCATGATAGTCATTAGCCATTACAGTTCTTGTCATTTTTACATGATAAAATACCAAAGTGTGTAAGATCCTGTCAACATTCTGTTATATGTCCTTCATAGTTAGCCTACCATCATGCAATGCTATCTGTTGTTTCACAAGATATATTTTTTGGACCTGATTGCAACTGAGACTTCTACCAACTTGTTCTCTGACATTTCTCTAATCACTTTGTTATATTTGGTTGTTGGCCAATAGGTAATATTTTAAAGATGATTGTTCATTTGTTCAGAAGGCTTCACATGGAACACTTTGATGAGTCTACACACTGGCCTGCAACTATGTAGGCAGAACTTTGTAACTTATTGTGAACCGACTGACTAATCCTTGTCTGATCTGACCTGATGGGCTGCAGTGGCGTAGCCAGGAATTTTTTTTGCTCTGGGCAAAAAATCGCTGGGCTACGCCACTGCCAGACTACCTCCATCACCAGCGTCCTCCTTGGTTTCCACACGAAGGCGAGCAACATGAGGATGGTGATCCAGGTCACCACCGTGGCCGGAACAGCGACAGAGAGGGCGGCGCCCATGGAGGGGAGGCCGAAGACGCCGCCGTAGAGGACGGAGGCGTAGAGGGCCGGCCAACCGGCGGAGAAGTAGGAGCTGGGGCGTAGAGGGCCGGCCACTTTCTTGCCCTGGGCAGCTGCCCAGGGCAAGAGTACCCTGGCTACGCCCCTGATGGGCTGTGGACTAGGGTTGTGATTGGTTCAGTTCATTGTGGAGGTCTAATTCTCACAGGTCAATTTCCTGATTTCTTCAGACATTCTAAAGATTAGACTTTTGAGCTCGGTCTGATTTCTTATCTCAAAAGTTTAATCTTGAAATGACATTATTTTTCTTCTAAAAAAATCAGGAGGGTGTTGAAAACAGCAGCACAAAACGGCGTTTAAGTCGACCACTTACGCATTTTGGGGACTTAGCTGCTATCCGCCTGGGAAAAAAAAACTCCTGAAAAGGCGGCCACAACACATAAATAGGCCCAAAAGTGGTCTCTAAACCTGAAATCAGCCACCAAAAGCTTTCACCTTTGATAATTTATATTAATTTATTTAACTTTTTTTATCAGATATCTCTGAAGGGATAAAATCCGGTATCTGATTATAGTCCACTATATTTGAGTTTATCACATTACGTGTGTATAGTTTTTTGTTAAGATTGTGTGATTAGGTCTAGGTATTTGTTACACATCTATTTCATGTTTAGAATATCTTTAAACACCACAGACATTTGTAGAAAAATTTTCCCTTCAATTTTTGTTTGTTTTATAATTTTCAGATTTTTTTTTTTTTAAATTTGTCCCTACTTAAGAAATAAAAAAAAAAATTTGTCTTGAGCTTTTATCCGCTTAAGCCTCAAAAGACTAAGCAGTATTTGCTGCTTCGCTCCGCTTTCCACAACCTTCAGGTGACATAATGTTCTTTTACCTTTCTCATTTTAAATACTTACTTGGATTACTATCATGGGAGTTGGTGAGTTGCTATCAAGTCCACGTGTCAAAATATGATTTTTCTAGAGCACAAGAAGTTCCTACTATTGGGGTTGTAGAGGATCAGGAGCCTGTTGTTGATGCCCAATATGATTGCTTTAAGCTAATTTGACATGTATATGTTTTAGATAGCTATCTAAAAGAGGCAAAGGGCAGGTCAAAGGAATAGCAAGTGGCAATGGATGCAGAAAATCACTGCAAGAGGCAAACTGATTTGGGAGGGTCCATCAAAGTGGACAACGTTCAGGCTCTTGCTGGTGATTAGAAAAACTTGAAGCTGAGAAGCTTGAGAGGTATACTTGGCCTGACATAAAAAAGGATCCTACCGTTGATGATGAGGGTATCCCTGTCATAGATATGCAAAGGCTATTGGATGCAAATTTCTCAGATGAAGAGGCCTGTAAGCTCAAATTTGCTTGCGAAGAGTGGGGGTTTTTCCAAGTTAGTGTTATACTCTTGTTCGAATTACTACTCATTTAGTTCATTCATTCACTGCCTGAATTGGTGGCATTCTAAGGTTTAAAAGTCACATTTTTTGTGGAAAAAAACTAGAAATTTGAAAGGTATAGTGGATAGTGATAGTATTAAAACATTGGAGTGCACTTTGAATCTTTTATACTGATTTATACCATTAGTCAAGGAAATTGAGATCAACTAATGGGTTGCTTATATTTGACTATTTACTTGGCAATACTTTAGCATTTTTTTTTTCCAATTATACTCACGCTACTGATGCATCCAAGCCTAATGCTTGAAAGTGCTCAATTTTTTGGAGATCTAGACTCATAAATGGTAACCAAAATTTCCAACTTATCTCTTTGACTTACTGATGGATGAGAATGCAACATGATTGGTATCATTATGCGAGAAAAAGATCCTTTCCAAGGATTCAAACCCTGTAACTTACCCTTTTTCATTCTCAAATTCCCCCTACAACCAAGTGAGCTTAATAGAGCAAGCAATTAGGATCAGATAAGTACTTCTAGAATTTAATTCATCTCTTAAGATTTTGCTTTACACTGAACTACTCAAGAGCCGGGCTATGGACAAGCCTTTGTTATTTCAGAGGAGCAAAAACTTGATTGGGGAGACATGCTTTTCCTCCTCACTCTACCCCAGAATTATAGGAATATGAAATTGTGGCCTACTCATCCTCCCACTTTCAGGTAAAAGAATTTTCAATTTCCCCTTTCCAGTTGAGAATTATGCGTAGAATCTAATTATCATTGGATAAATCCTGTTCAATTTCAACTTGACATCGGTATTTATTCATCAGAGATTTTTGTCACCCTAGTGGTCCTTAATGTTAGATATTACTTAACCATCCATCAGAGGCGGTATCATATCCTTGAAAACTAATATGGTCTGAAGTCTCTGTTCATTTATGGAAGAAACTGATGCATACAGGTAGGTATCATATTTTTGAATGGGTTAGTCACGTATTACTCCCAGAATTTTTTATTAGCCCAAATGAAGCTACTATGACGTGTATGTTCAACACCTGTAAGAGAACAGCGGTTTTCTCTGCAACAATGACATATTAGGGGATCTTTTTGCAACACATTGGCCATCATGTGACATCCATATGCTTTCATTTTAAGCTCTCATTTACAAATGACAAGTACACCAAAACCATAGTCTAATGATCGATGAACTTCTAGTAATCAAGGAAACAAGTTTCTTGTTCTACTCAAGTATTTGATGTTCACAGGGAGACAATTGATAAGTACTCATTGGAAGTAAGGAGAATTGCACATTGCATCTTGGGATTCATGGGGAAGAACGTGGGGAGTTGTATACGATTGACTCATCAATATCTTCAAGGAGCCACAATCAGCAAGAATAAACTACTATCCACCATGCCCAACTTCTGAGAAGGTGTTTGGTCTCTCCCCTCTCGCTGATGCCACAGGCTTGACGTTGCTCCTTCAAGTCAATGATGTGCAAGGATTGCAAATTCGAGAAATAGAGGTTGGAGCTCTGTAAAACCTATTCCTGGTGTTTTTGTTGTCAATATTGGCGATATGCTCGAGGTAATAATAAAATTTGGTGCTCTTTAGTGAAAATTGTGGCTATATGTTTAAGCTGTAAAAAAAGAGGGGGAAAAGTGACAATGTCATGCTGAAAATCGTGTCCTTGATTAATTTGAACTGGGGTTTAATTGCGGATAGAACCTGTGCATTTTCACTGTTTTGAACTTACTACCCTCTGGTTTTATTGTTGCAGGTAACCCTCCAAGTGAATTCTTTTCTACTCTTTTACTCTCAAAGAAAGAGAATCTTGCTTTAAAACTGTGCTTGATTACAAATATATCCAATGTATCTGCTTTAAAATTTGCGTGCATCTATTTAATATATATTTGATCTTGTCTGCAGATTTATACGAATGGGAAATACAAGAGTATTGGGCATAGAGCTGTCGTACATTCAGAAAAAGAGCGCATATCGATTGCTGCTTTCCACAAACCAAAGTTTGGGGAACTCATAAGCCCAATTCCTGAACTTGTGAAAGATGGTAGAGAGTTTTACTGGACGGTGAGTGTTGAGGATTTTCTGAGGCTCTATATTTCTAGTAAGCTTGATGGAAAGAGCCGGTTAGATTGTCTGCAGTTGAATACATGAAGGAAAACCGCAAGAGGATTGTCCTAAAGTTGCTATCAACTCACATGAAACTGTAACAAGTGACAATTGATAAATGTCTCAAATACTCTGAATAATTTAAGCACTATTTGCATTATACCTCATGGTCCTTTAGAACACAAGGTGGTAAAATATAGATCTTCGTCTCTCGTTCCCTCATATGATAATAATCCAAACCCAATTACCAAAACATGCGATGAAACCCTTGAAGGGAATCAATATTATTCCTGTTTTCTCTAGTACCATCTTTGGTTGGTGGCCAATGTAATTCAATATCTTAAAGATTTTTCAGGGTGCTTCACAGAGAAAACTAATGGTGAGGCTGCATACAGGCCTGCAGCTTTGCAGGTAGTCGTTTCGTATTTATCACTAATCTACTAACTAATCCTTGTGCTCTGGATTAGGATTTATGAATTGGTTTAGTTCAGTGCTAATCCAATGCAAGGAAATTGTGAAGGTCTAATTCTCATAGGCGGGCAACTTTATTATTCCTTATTTGTTTAGTCATTCTAAAGATTAGATTATTGAGCTCACTTTGATTTTTATAGAAAGCGAAATCTGGAGTTGGACTTTATTTTGTTTCTAGAGAAATCACGTCGCACGTTTTCTTCCTGGTACACCTTTCTCTTTTAAAATTCTTCTGGATTACTATAATGGCAAGTGGTCAGTCACTATCGAATCCACATATCAAAATATGATTGGTTAAAGGTCAGGAGCCTGTTGTTAATGCTCCAGTAGTCTTGATGGTTGCTTTTAGGTTATTTGATGTGTACACATTTAGAATTTTATATAGCTATTCAAACAAGAAACCAAGGCCAGGCGAAAAGAAGAACCATCTGCAATGGATGCAGAGAATTACCGCGGGAAGCAAAGCGAGCTGGGAGGGTCCATGAAAGTGGACAACGTCCAAGCTCTTGTTGCTGCTGATCCGAAAAATTTGAAGGCTGAGATTCTTGAGAGGTATGTTCGGCCTGAGATGGAAGAGGATGCTTTTAATGATGATGAGGATATTCCTGTGATAGATATGCAAAGATTATCAGATCCCAAGTTCTCAGATGAAGAGGCCAGTAAGCTCAAGTTTGCTTGCGAAGAGTGGGGATTTTTCCAGGTTAGTATCATGTTATTATTTCGACTTTACTAATTTAGTTAGTTGTTTATCCATTGATTGATTCGTATTATGCTACAAGATTATGTAGAATTGGCGAAGAAATTGGAGAAGAACAGGTTTCGGAAACAGGGAAACGTTTTTGGTGATGTTCGGTCGACCGTGAGGCTAGGCCGGTCGACCGAAAACGTGCACAGCTCAGAGTTTGATTCTGGACTTGGTGCGGTCGACCGCGGAGGTCGACCGCCAAACCCTGTAATCGATTCTGAGGCTCTGGAGTTGGTTGCGGTCGACCGCTGCAGTCGACCGCCAAACCCTGTATTGATTTTCTGGGTTCTCTCGTTTGTCGCGGTCGATCATATATCGGGTTAAGTCCATATTTGAGTTTCCTGTTCTGATTTGGTTTTGAGTTTGATATAAATACCAAACACGATTCAGGGTTTTGGGAGAGCAGTATAGGGGATATTTGGAGCACCGAAAAGATATAATTTTTAGAGCTATTGGTTAGGGTTTTGTTTGAGAGATTAAGAGCTTTGTTGGTGAGATTAATTGGTGAGTTTAAGTGATTTGTAATCTCAGTTTGTACTATTCTTCTCTATTAGTGAAAACTCATCCATTTTTTGCCCGGTGGACGTAGACAACTTGCCGAACCACATAAAATTCGTTTGTGTTTATGCCGTTATTTTGGTTTGTTTGGCTTTCTCTCTCGGCGTTTGTTTTGGTTCCTCGAAGCTCAACAATTGGCTTCCTCACACAACAAGTGGTATCAGAGCACAACAAGTGGTATCAGAGCTCGGGCTATGCTTGGGCTAATTGGAGGAGTAGATCACTGTGGAAGTTCGTCTAGGGTTTCGATTGATGATAAATGTGGGATTTTTACTTTTGTGGATCTTGTCTACCGTCGTGTGGGGGTGAGATATTTCGGAGGTTCTTGTTAGGATTCACTTGGAGGTAAAAATCCCTCTTTTCAGTTTGGATCTATTCTTCGTTTGTTCCGCATTGATTTAGTGGTGATTTGAAAAAGATGGCCGAGAAAAAAAGGAGTTATGGAGGGTACTTCCGACGTAAAGACCGTCCAAAGTTTGAATATCTACTCTATGAAGATAGACGTGAAGAAGTTTAATGGCACAAAAAATTTTGGTCTTTGGAAATGCGAAGTCTTAGATGCGTTTAACGCGTAAAATTTGTAAGATACATTGGAGTTGGACGGAAAACCGGACGACATTGAGGAAAATATTTGAAAAAAGATGAATCGAATGGTGTGTGGTGTGAATAGGTCTTGTCTTACCCAAGATCTAAAATATGATGTGATCAATCGACTTTGGCTAAGAAGATTTGAGAGATCCTAGAGAGCAAATATTTGACGAAGAGTGTGAAAACTCGTTTGCATTTGAATATAAGGCTTTATCACTTCCAATTGAAAAAAGGGATCTCCATTGGTGATCACATGAACCACTATATGAAGCATCTTACGGATTTGACGAATGTAGATATGATGATTAAAGATGAGGACAATGCGTTGTTATTGTTGAGTTCTTTGTCCGACGAGGAATATGAGACATTCGTTCTTACTCTTATTAATGGGGAAATATCTTTTTCGTATACCAAGATCACCGCTGCATTTATGAATTATCAGCTTCAGAAGAAGGATAGGGAGACTTCTATTGAGCCAGTAGCGGGGGCATTGATCGCAAGAGCAAAGAGTCCAAATCGATGTTGGAGGTCGCAGTCTAGAGGGGCACATCCTGCAGTTGGTTAGGAATCAGTGTATTTTTTGTAAAGATGATGGACATTAGAAAGCTGAATGTCCAAAGTTAACAGATCAAGCCAGGAAGAATAAAGGGAAAGCAATTCAAGCTTCAGAGATGAATGTTACTAAGGCTAGTGATGACAATTCAGATTTGGATTCTTCGGGCTATTCGTGCCTTACATTACCATTAGTTTGTGTTACCGACTCTACATAGTGGATGCTAGATTCGTGTGCTTCTTACCATATTTTTCTTAGGAGGGATTGGTTCTCTAGTTTTCAGGAGTTAGAAAGAGAGGATGTCGTTCTTATAGGTAATGATCATGAATGTCCTATTGGTGGTATTGGTACCGTTCGTATTAGGATGTCTGACGGGGTGATTCGGGAGTTGGATGAAGTAAGGTTCGTTCCGCAGTTGAAGAAGAATATTACACTTTGAGTTTTAGAGGCAGCAGTCTATAGGGTGACCTTAGAGGATGCATCTCTGAAGATTACATTTGGGTCCATGATTGTGATGAAGGGCGTCAGGAGGAAGAATTTGTACTATTTGATTGGGAGCACGGTGATTGGTAGAGAGCTGACGACTTCTTTGGATTTGGTTAGACTGTGACGTTTATTGATGCTGGGATATTTGATTGTTGATGATGTGCATGGATTGTTGAGGAGTGCTTTGACCTGCAGATTGAAGTCCTGTGAGCACATTGGTATGAGTAAGAAGACCGAGGTGGAGTTTGGCATTTCTATTCACCGAGCGAATGGTCTTCTAGGTGATGTTCATTCAGGCATTTGGGGGCCTTGCAATGAGGCATCATTGGGAGGTAATAGGTATTTGGTTTCCTGTGTAGGTGACTGTTTTAGGTATTTGTGGGTTGCAACCAAGTCTCTTGGTGTGAAGTCCTAGTAAACAATAGGTGGAAGAAGTGTATTGATAGAAAGGTAATACGTTGTTCTGATTTTGGTAGAAGTTCTTTTCTACATTTATGCCGAGCTCATGATAGTTTGAGACATTTTATTGGACAAGATACATTGAGGCGACGAGATGAGGTGACAGATTTGATGAGTCATTCCTTGTTGGAGGAGAATCAGTGTTTGATGTTGAGCATTGGTTTGCAGAGGAGTTATGGTGTTGAGGCTTTGACATATTGGAGCCATCTTATTCATAGGTTGCTGACTGTTGCGTTTGAAGTATTTGGATCTGGTGAAGCTGCTTTAGATTTTTGGTTGCTCGGATATTTGGTTGCCCAGCATATGGTCACATCGATGATGTGAGATTTGATCTGAGTGTACATTTGGGACTCAGAGCCATGTTTGGTTATCAGTTGTTGGACTCTGATTTTGTTCTGAGCAGGTATGTCATATTTGACTCTTGGTAGACGGAGAATGTTGATCAAATCGTTAGGATATCGTAGCAGGTGGAGAGTGATGCTACTCCACGTTAGGTGAAGATTACTCCACGTTCTTCAGATCATTCTGTATCGTTTGAGATTCCAGCTGAGGTGACACAGATTGGGGATCGTGTTGATTTGGATACAGATGACGAGTTAGTTGATTTGAGTGCAGCTGATGGACACAGTTTGGATTTGGCTATGGCTGTTGGTTCACCTCAGGTGGAGGTGTTTAGTTTGTTTTATTTTGGGACCATTGGAAAAGTTATCTGTTGCAGATTTGTTGGTGATGTTGGAGAATGGTTGAAAACTCTTCTCGTTGATTGAGGGCCTTTGGAGGTTATTTGGTGAGTTGATATCGACATTTAGAGATTGCTCGCATTCTCATTTGGGTTCCCGACTTGTTGTGGATTGAGTCCGTTGTAGTGGTTTTGTTCCACTTTGCTATGAAGCATGGACATGCATAACATGAAGCCGTGTCGTGTCGTGTCCGTATCGGACACACGTGTCGAACACACGTATCCTATGTATTTTTTAGGATTTACCTTGTGTTGGCGTGTCGGATGGCCGTGTCGGATCTGTGTCCGTGCTACATAGCCACTTTGTACTGGACGCAACAAGTGAGACATTTGGTTTGTATTGGTGTCGGTTCAGTTTTGAGAAATATTCGCCGATGTGGAGAATTGTAGAATTGGCAAAGAAATTGAAGAAGAACATGTTTTGGAAGCATGAAAACATTTTTGGTGATGTTCAGTCTATCGCGAGGCTAGGCCGGTCGACCGAAAACGTGCACAGCTCAGGGTTTGATTCTAGACTTGGTGCGGTCGATCGCGGCGGTCGACCGCCAAACATTGTAATCGATTTTGAAGCTCCGGAGTTGGTTGCGGTTGACCGTTGCAGTCGACCGCCAAACTCTGTATTGATTTTCTGGGTTCTGTCATTTGTCGCGGTCGACCGCGTATCGGGGATATTTGAGCACATAAAAGAGGCATTTTTTGGAGCTATTGGTTAGGGTTCTGTTTGAGAGATTAAAAGCTTTGTTGGTGAGATTAATTGGTGAGTTTGAGTGATTTGTAATCTCAGTTTGTACTCTTCTTCTCTATTAGTGAAAACACCATCCCCTTTTTGCTTTGTGGACGTAGGCAACTTGCCGAACCACGTAAAATTCGTTTGTTTGTGTTTGTGCCATTATTTTGGTTTGTTTGGCTTTCTCTCTCGGCGTTTGTTTTGGTTCCTCGAAGGACAACAATTGGCTTCCGCGCACAACAGTTTATAGTTGCAATTTCCTTGTTGAAATTGAAAAACTTGAAAGGATAGTGGATATTGATATTTGTTAAAAATTGTGTTACAATTCAAGTTAATCTGTCCGTGAAATTGTGATAAACTTGAAGGATATTTGCAGTTTGACTTTTACTAGGTGAAATTCTCTTTCTTTCTTTTGTTTTTTCCCCCATTAACTCTCCGAAATCACGCCCAGTCCCAATGCACTAAGATGCTCAAACTCTTTATATGAATAGATTCATAACATGCAACCCATTCTCTTTGAATCGGTGAGAAAAGATGAGGATGCAGCATGATTGCTATCTGAAATATAGGTGCTTGGGATGCCCTTTTCAAGTATTCAGACCATGAACTTCCACTCTCTTATTCTCTCTATAAACCAATTGAACGCTATCAGAATAAGTGACTAGGATTATTGCAAATATTTCAGTTCATCTCTCTGAACTTTATTTACAGCCTGACTATTTTATGACTCTAGGTATGCGATAGATATGACATATGGATTCTATTTTGTAGTTTGTAAACCATGACATATCTGAAGAGCTGATTGAGAAAGTGAAGGCTGACGTTGAGGAGTTCTTTCAACTTCCGTTAGATGTTAAAGAGGCATGCGCTCAAGAATCGGGAAATCTTGAAGGCTATGGCCAAGCCTTTGTTGTTTCAGAGGAGCAGAAACTTGACTGGGGAGACATGCTTTTCCTCTTCACTTTGCCACAGAATTATAGGAATTTGAAGTTCTGGCCTACTCATCCTCCCACTTTCAGGTAAGTAAACTTCTGTTTTCGCTCCCTTTTGTTTAAAGAGGTTTTTGTGTATATAATTATGTACCCCATAATCCATAGGTATTTTGAAACTACGCCTCCCGAAATCTCTGTGCCGCCCCCGCCCCCCCCTCCGAATCGTTAAACTTCATACAAAACATATGTACCAAATTGACAAGCTTTAATTGGCTAATTTGTAACTGCAATGTAAAATTATCAACAAAATAGTCAAATTTCTACGTGCTAATCCAATTAAGTTAGTTATGTTGATCTGGGGGATATTTATTTTCCAATGAGATTATTTGGAGGATAGTTGTGACATCCCAAATGTTTAGTCTCACATCGGTGGGCGAATAAGTGTTTGAGTGGTTTATATAGATTTGTGGGTCCAATGACTTACATCACGCCAACGGGCCCGCGTGCCCGGGGTATGGCAATAGTTTTGTGAATAGTGAGATTTGGAGGGCAACTTCACAAATAGATTTAAGGGGGTGTGTGTGTGTGTGTATGGGTCAGGTCACCGATCACAGTTAGCAAGAATATAATAGACAAACTTAGAACAAAATGATTCATATCATAAAAGAAATATTATTCAAGAACACACACATATATATATAATATATAATTTATATAATAATATATATATATATAAATATAAGATATATAATTTATATTAATTATACATATATTATATATATAAATGAGATTAGGTATCCTTGGTCAATAGGAGGGGGTATTTCCTCCTTATGACGACTCTAAAATCACATGATTTTTGAGCGAGCATTGTGGATGATCCGTTTCCGTTGAAAACTTGAATTACATATTCTAAAACGCCCACCCAAGTTTGGGGTGAACCCGCGTGCGTTTGAAACAGCCTTCATACACTCAGTAATCCTTTTACGGGATTTGAATGAATAGAACTTATTCGTGGCTTATGAGACGGGTCATAACGACGACGGATTCAGCGCTCAAACTTGGTGTTTGGGGTTTAGAATATGTAGATGCAAGTTCATATGGAGCGGATGGCATTCCATAATGTCGCTCCCAATCATGTGAAATTTTAGAGTGCGTCAAGGAGGAAAGTCCTTGCCATATGACAAGGGAATACCCATTATATATATATATATATATATTATATATATATATATATATATATAATATAGTATATATATAATATATAATATATAATATAATATATAGGGAAGTGTTGGCCTAAGGTGACGCCTTAGATAATCATCTAATGATGCGGTCTAAAATCACATGATTGAGCTACATTGTGAATGATCCACTCCGTTGAATATATATATATATAACTCATTTTTATGTTAATAATTGTGTAAAATCTAGTTATAAGCAAATTAACATTCCTCGCTCTTTTTTGTAGTAAGATGTACTATACGTGATCAATATTGTTTCAAGACTGTTCATTTTCGAATGAAGTAGACCACGTGCATCAACTGGTCTCTTTGTTTGAGAACCAACTGTTTTAAGACTTTACTCATTTACAAACCATAGTCCGTTATCCATGAGCAATAAAGGTAATTGGTTTGTTCTTACTCAAGTCATTGATTCTTTCAGGGAAACGATGCACAAATACTCGTTGGAAGTAAGGAGACTTGCACATTTCATCTTAGGATTTATGGGGAAGAATTTGGGACTTGAACATGATCAACTCATAAATGTTTTCAAGGAGACACAATCGCTAAGAACAAATTACTACCCACCGTGCCCAAATCCTGAGAAGGTTCTGGGTCTCTCTCCTCACTCTGATGCAGTAGGCCTGACATTGCTCCTTCAAGTCAGCGAAGTACAAGGATTGCAAATTCGGAAAAATGGCGGATGGATCTCTGTAAAACCAATTCCTGGTGCTTTCGTTGTCAATATCGGTGATTTACTTGAGGTAATAAATCAAAGTACTACATGCTTAAGTTGCTAAATAGATATTCAAGAGAGTCCTGATCCTGAAATACTTGTGCATATTTTCAGTTGGCTGTATTTTGTGGTCTTAACCTAGTACTCATGGAAATTTGTTTAGTGTATTTTTAAGCTATAAAAATGGAGAGAAAAAAAAAACAAGTTATAAATGTCATGCTTACAAGGCGGAATTTTTTGTTATTCTAGATGCATCCTACTCGCCATCCATATCGTATGGGATACTGACACGTATATTGATTATCTATGTCTAGTAGGATAAGGATAAGGATATGGATATCTTTGTAACTTCTGGTATGTTACATGTAAGGTGTCAATGTGCGATTAACCCTTTTACAGTTATATCCGATCTATCCACTTTTACGTTCGACATGCATTTTTTGTTGGTAATAACATGCGCATGTCTGATATTTTGCCTACAGATCTATACCAACGGTAAGTACAAGAGTATCGAACACAGAGCTCTGGTACACTCGGAGAAAGAACGCATATCAATGGCTGCTTTCCACACCCCAAAGTTTGGCGAGCTCATCGGCCCACTTCCTGAACTTGTGAAAGATGGCAGAGAGTTTTATAAAACTTTGAGCCTGGAGGATTTTCTGAAGCTCAGTTTTTCTAGTAAGCTTGATGGAAAGAGCTTGTTGGATCGTTTAAAGTTGAATATGTGAAGGAACACATTCAAACCGGCAAAACTATCAAATTGGTATGGTTTGTTGACCTAAGTACCAAATTAGTATATTTTCTTATTTCACCGATAACAAGGTATATTAAATGGGACATACAACTTTTCCCTTTATTATGTTCATGTTTGAAGCCGACTGTAAGCAAGAGCTTGAGCTTAAAGAATCTATCTCCAATTTCAATAGACCACACCCAATTCTAACCCTAGGAGGAAGAACAATCAATTTGATTCCCACCTTTATAAGTCTCAATTAAAAAAAAAAAAAATCTCTTTTCCACTCGAATGAATGAGCTTAACCATGTGCCACATAAGAAGCCACATCAGCATCACATGATGGGTCATGTGACATTTAGTTGCTGAAAATTTGGCTCCAAACAAAAAAATAGGCATTATTATCACCGTGTCCCATTTAATACGCGTTGTTGTTGCCGGAGAAAGAAAATATACCAAGTTGGTACTTAATGTCAATGAAATATACAAATATGGTAATTGTGTCCATGCAAAGTGTATACAATAATATATTTTTGAATTTGCTCATTTACATGTATATACGCACATCTAATGTCCGTCTAGATTACTGCGTAAAATCTAGATCATGGGTTCCAAAATATGTAATGTAATGTTCTGTAGCGTGTGATAAAACTCAGGTAATTATCCCAAACATGAACTATTGGCGGATATTGAGTTCTAAAATATGACCACTTCTATTTGGTCATGTTTCTTGAAGAAAGAATATGTAGATTGAACCCTAATTCTGAAGTTGTAGTGAGGGGTGAGGATAAAGTCCGCTCTAAATTTGTGGCTGGTAAGATCCGAACACGGATTGCTCTGAAAAGAAGGGTTAACTTAGTTAATCCATCGTGAAGGATTAAAAAAATTCTAAACCCGTTTGGATACGATAGTCAAGACAAGGGGTTAAGTTTTTTGTGTTTGGCAAATGGAGAGGGGTTAAAGAGATTAATCTCATTATTTTTTAAAAAATATACCACTTTCGCCCCTATTGAAGATTTATAAATAATTACCTCATCAAAAACAAAAAAAAAAAAATAGAAAAACTTTGGACATTCATACCTCAAGGTAATTCTTTGTTAACACAATGTATCTAAAATAATGTAACAAAGTGCAAGTAAGATAATCGAGTAAGATAATCTAATAATCTCTATTTACAATATGCAAGTAAGATAATTGAGTACTAATTTAATAATCTCTGTTAACATAATGTATCCATCATTATACAAAACAGTAAAAATATTAAATTACAAAGTGAGCAACAAAAAAATTTAGGTTCTCTCTCGTCATTAAGAAGTAGATACTCCAAGAATTAGCTTTTACAAAGAGACTGATTCCTTTAGATGTGATGATCTCATGATGCCGGCAAGCTTTGGACAAGCATCAAGGCACAGATCCATTGCCTGTTCAAAAGAAATCTAAATTAGTAGTTAGAACAAGCATCAAGGCACAGATCCATTGCCTGTTCAAAAGAAATCTAAATTAGTAGTTAGAATTTAGAATCTAGAATGTAGCTTTTATATTGTTTGAAGAATCTAAATTAGTAGTTAGAATTTAGAATCTAGAATGTAGCTTTTATATTGTTTGAAGCTTTTGTCACTTTGTTTCAAGAACTGACAAATAACAAGAACTATGATTTTCTTAAACAAGAATAAAACAAGCATACTATAATAAGGTAGTTCTTAGAAAAAAAATGCAATATTAATCCTTAATTAGGCGCTCGCGGCCATTGCAATAGAAATGAGAAATAAAATAGACTTCATGTAGCAATTAAGCAATGACCTCAAGTTTTCTTTATGCATCTATAAACATTCATACCTATATAGTGCTTATGCATCTATAAACATTTTATACTCCATAAACATTCATACCTCAAGGTAATTCTTTGAGTTCTGACGAAGTTCTTCTGCCCGGATTCTGAGTTCATCACTGCAACGCCACATAGACAGCTGAACAACAATAGTATGGCATCAATTACCTAGTTGAAAAATATTGCATCAAATAGTTCCTTATAGACAGCTGAACAACAATAGTATGGCATCAATTACCTAGTTGAAAAATATTGCATCAAATAGTTCCTTGTTTGACAAAATATATGATGACTAAGATTATGTTTTTGCCATACCTCAAAACATCAGATCTTCTATCTGAGAATAGTACAATTTTGCAGCCATCATTCTGGCCAATAAGCATACATCTCTAGTGACTTCCGAAGTCACTCTAGGATTTCCTATGTACCACATACAGACATTATCATGACATGCAAATCCATTATATATAAAACAAAAGATAAAAAAAATAATTTAACTAGAGGACCACCAAGAATAATTTAACCAAAAACGAGCGCATCCTTGAACTAGTGATCAGTATTAATCAGGTAAAAACCAACAGTTCCCTCAGTGAAGTTGTATCTGTTGATCCTAAATTGACTGGGCCAATCTTTGAATGAGTAGCCAACCAAGCCCAAACTCTCTACAATCCTGCTTGCTATCTGCACTAGAAGTTCATGGAGCTACGAAGTATAGGTCCTGATTGTTTCTCTGAAGATTGTCCAGCAAACAAAATTCGCGATTGATTGTAAGTTAAAGGTCATGTAGCAAAAGATCATTTCTCATACTAAAATTTCATATAAGGTACATGTAATCATCTCAAGTTTGGTAAATTTTGGTACAAGGAACAGAGACATCTCAAAGACACGATGCAAGTTAAAAGAGGTAGGGAAATACATGACAATGTTTATAATAAATAAATTCTGTAAGTAGTAACCCTAGAACAAATTATAACCCGAAATTGTGTTATTCGATTTTCCAGTTTTAATGCTAGACTAAAACTAAACCCAAGACGAGATGTCATCCCATATATTTAGAAAGACAAAATTTTTAAATATAGGCAATTTGAGCAATGAGATGTGCTGTTAGGCACATTCATAATCTTGTATCACAACATAATCAAGATAACCAAAAATTTGAATAATTGACAATGACAGATTAAACAAGGAGGAAGGGGGTAAAGTAAGAAAAGAAAAACTCCAAACTCAATGAGGCATATCCTCCTCAAAACAAGTGGAGTCCTCAAAGCTCATTTATTTCTATGAGTTATGACGACAGAGACAGGGAGAGGAGGCATTATTATCAATGTCAACATGGTCCTCAATTGAGTCCATTATCAAACGGTTCACAGTCATGGGGTTTTTCACTGGGAATTCACTGACATCTCAGAGACATATATGACTAATTGAGAAATTAGAAAACATGGGAATGTAAAATCTTGTGGTATGCCAAGACTCACAATGAATAAAGGACTTAGTAGTCCTGAACATGCACATCCAATTCCATCAATGCCTCATATCATATTCCACCAAACACACCTCTAAATGATCTGTAACCTTATGGTGATAGTTCAATGAGAGCAACACAAAACTCTTTCAATTTGCAGGCGGCAATGCTAACATAATAACAATTAAATAAAAACCTAGCTATCTATTAAAAAGGGCATTATCAATGAAAAAGGATGCAATGAAACCCATACACATGTATTATGTTTTACATTTATAGAAAAAGGGCATTATCAATGAAAAAGGATGCAATGAAACCCATACACATGTATTATGTTTTACATTTATAGACATAGTGAGATCAACAATGAAACTGTATGTTTTACATTTATAGACATAGTGAGATCAACAATGAAACTGTCCTCCTAAATCATGGAGCATCATTCTTAGAGGTCTGCAATGGAATCCTTTCCTCATAGCAAACCCTATACATCATCCCAATTAGCAACATAGAAGAAGAAGAAGAAATAGAAAGCTAAAACTTACAGAGACAGAGACCCATCATCGGAGAACAAGGTCTCAAGCATAGTACTGCTCCATCTGCACATCCCGCCCTATAAGTGGCACATACTCCCCACAAGTACACCTCCAAGCGACCCGCCAAGCATAGTACTGCACTATTTCATTCTCTAACCTTAGCCTCAACAGGTATCGACAAAAACCCCGAATCCAAAAGCTAGCGATCCAACATCAACACAATCAAATTGTAACAAAAAAAAAGAGCTCAGATTAAATCTAGTTGACAATCCACTGTCTCATTCACCAACTCAATCAAATAAAAAAGCCAAGAGGAGCTCAAGTTGCATCTATTTAACAATCTGCTGCCTCATTCTCTAACCCTAGCCTCAAGCGAACCGAAAAAGCCCCACAAATCCAAACCTAGAACTACAAATTCTTCAAATAAACCAAATTACAAGCAAAGTGAGCTCATCTTACACCTTGTTCCGCCTTCTTACGCGGAATAGTTAACCCTTCAATTCACGGGTTAAGTGGAGTTTTGAGGTCACGTGCGGGTTAGTTAGCCCTTTGGCTTTTTTTTCTGTTTGGCAGGCTAATGAAGGGTTAAACCACCTTAACCCTCTATTTAACCCCTTACCAAACACAGCCTTAAAGTTTTTTTTCCTATTACATGAAAACCGGTAATGCTTTGTTTGGGACTTGGCGGGGGGCGCCACGGGGCGCGCAGGGGCGGGTGAACGAGGGGTACGAAGGAAGTAAACTGGCTTGGAACTTGTTCGTCGAGACTTTTAGAAGGGAATGGACGGAAAGGGAAGTAATAAATTTTTGCATCCTCTAACTTCCGTTCTCTATAACTTAGTTAACCCCCAAATTGGGGTGTAGATGAGGTGAATTGTTGTGGAACATCATGATACAAATTCTTTTTAGTGAACTCTCAAACATGATTATTACATTTTTTTTTCTCCATTTCTTTTTTTTTTCTTTTGAATTGCTTTCCCTTCCTTTATTACCCTTTCCCTCCCGCTAGTAAACTCCCAAACATAGCATAAAGTTACAGTGAGGTTTGTGTTTTATAGTTTTATAATCTTGGCCCAAAAGGCCCGCTTAAACTCTTATCTGCTCAATAAATCCTCCGTAAAACATCAAGGTCCCGAAATTGGGCTCTTTCTTCTTCCTCATCTCGCACCAAAAAAAAAAAAAGCTGGAAGTTTTCCAAATTCGAATGCCACGTGGCCCTCCTAATGTGCTGGGTCCCCTGGGCTCCGCAGCCGCCGTGCTCCTCGGCG